GTCCGAAGCGTACGACCGTACGCTTCTCCCAGTCGATAATAGTATCATGCCGTGCAAGCCACGGCATGCCCAACACCATGTCGAACTTGTCGTCCAAGTCCAGGACGAGAAGTTCTTCCACAAACACCCGGTTTTTGTACGAGAAGCGTGCGCGAATAACGCGCTTCTCGGTCTTTACGATGGCACCCGTTGCAATCGTACTTCCAACTGACTTCGAGGCACATGCTTCTCCTCGAAGTCCAACAACGGCAGATGTTGCTGTCGAACAAGTTGTTCGACGCGCCCGAGTCCACCAACACCCGAAGAGAGTCCGCTCTCTTCGTCATCGACTTCACCTTCAAGATGACAAGGTTTGGCTTGTCATCTTGCACCTTGCAGTGAGATTCCTTCTCACTGGGGGCTGCAGTATCCATACCGCGTGTCCGTTGTAGAGATGCGTGTCTGCATTACCAGTAGGGCGCCCCGCGCCTACTGGTCCGTCGCGTTGTTTGTTCGACCGTGACTATACCCTGTATCGCCATGTCGACCTTGGATCGAATGTACTGGTGTCGTACACTTGCGTGCATAATGTCCGATGTTTCCGCACCGGAAGCATCGCACGTTGGCTCTCGTCCCCTGCTGCCCCGCAGCAGTTGCACCTGAAAGGTCCATTGGTTCTGGACCTTCCACCTCATCAGCCACCTCAACCGCCGGCTCGGGCGGGAGTGGAACGTTCAGATATAGTTTAGCCTGCCGCAGGCTAAACTCCTCTTGCATCGCGAGAGTTATCGCAGCTTCGAGAGTACTCGGATATTCTCGGAAAAGATAGGTCTTCACAGGCCCATCCTTCAGCCCCTTCAAGAACGTGACGGCCTTGGTCGTCTCGTCAATCGGTTTGGTCACGACGTTTTGAGACCAAGTACCGTGCACGTTGGGCGTACGCATGTACATCTAGCGTAACCTGCTGCAGGTCGACAAACTCAGCTCTCGCCCGGTGCTCATTCTTCGAGGGCTCAAACGCAAGTTTGAGCTCCTTCTTGAAGGACTCGTACGTCCTGAAGCACGTAGGATCGGCGAGTCGGCGCCCGTAGACCCAACTCCGCGCCCGTCCGCCAAGACAAGACATGGCGAACGCAACCTTTGACAGTGGGTCGACAATACGTCGAGCCATAATGGCAGTGTCGAGTCCGACATGCCAACGAAGAAGGGCCTCATCTTCTTTGCCTTCGTAGTTACTCACGTGTAACTTCAGATACTCCTTCCGCGGTGTCACCCCAGGTGACACTGTATTCACACCATGTTGCTGTGTCGGCGATAGTGTGCGTAGCATGGTCGCTACGACCGCCTCTCCAATGACCGTTGACAGTCGTCGGAGCGCCTCCCACTCTGGATCCGCCAGATGGGGGCAGTCTGTACGCACCACATGCGTAGCAGCTGTGTTGGGGCTTCCGACAGACATCCCGTCCATCGGAAGGTTATCGTGCCCATGTTCGTAAGTCATGCGAACAGTGAAGTCGGTCGTTGGACGGACTACAAAGGGCTACCAGGTGTAGTTGGCCTAGAGCTCACGAGTTAGCTTACACGTGTGCGCACGTGTAGGAGGAAGCGTAGGTGTTCCTAAGTTGTATAGCGTACACACGATGCGTGTGTACGGTAAGACAAGATAGGAGCTAGATAGCGTAAAATGAGAACTTTATTGTTGTTAAGGATGTTTCCTTCCTAAACTGTTTATCAAATATCTAAGGGACTGTCAGCGGGTGGCTGACAGTGATTCGCATAGAGATGTGGCGCGCTCTACCAATAGGATCCCTTCAAATGCAGTCTTGGTGTATGAACACACCAAGACGGGAAACCTCTAACTCTAACCGATTAGCGTTACGGTTAGAGTTTCGTGTAACTCCGTTACAATTTGGGTTGTGCCGGTTGCCATGTTTCCCATGGACAAACGCTACCACTCCACCGATAACTTCATATTCTCCAGGAGAACCCGTCCATCCGAACGGACATGCCAGTTCATAACGAGCGTGTTCTCGATCTCGATGCGTCCTGCAAAACGGTGTACACTGTGGCTGTGAATACTGACGTTTCGAAACGCAGAAGTTACGTCTCCTGCCATGATCTTGATCTCAGCATCGGGGTACTCCTGATTGCACCATATAATCTCGGCAGCAACGGCATCACAGTGGCGATAGTTAGCCTTTGGAATTGCGTCCTGGTCCGTGAAGTAGTTAATGGAGGCGCCTTCAGGGAACGAGAGATCGTGGATAGTCCGTCCTGTTGTCAGTGGGTCACCACCCGCCTTGTCGACAATCCCGAATGAGCTGATGAACACTTCAGGCCACATCGAGAAAATGTCCAAGTCTAGGACAAGCCACCTTCCGGCGTCTTGCTCCTTGCAGACATTCTTCCGCAGTATGTTCACCCTCTCGGTCGTCGATCCGTGATTGTCAGGAGGGCACGATTGAGGAGACACGTCCTTGTGAACTCCACGCGACCGCCTCTGCAATAAGTTGCAGTTTGTCGAAATGCGTGTAGTCCTTACACACCTGCGCGATCATTTCTGGAACCATACGCTTGTTTGGGCGGAAGTCCGTTTCCGTTTGGCGGCGAACAAGTTCCACTAGAGCTGGTAACGACATCTGCGTTCGGCGGACAAACTCGGAGAGCGTACGTTGCAGAGGCGTGTTGAGTAGGAACTCTGTTCCACTTGTCGACGGCCGGGACACAGGGTACGGTGAAGTTGGCAGTTGCAGCCCAACCCATTCCATAGCCTTATTCAGTGATAGTTGCCGAAGTTTTTCAACCACCGTAGCGTGGAGGACGGCATTTTCAGCTACCCGCGTAGCCCTTGCACTCGATATTACATCGTGCGCTGTACAGGAGCATGCCTGGGGACACCTACGCATGGCTGTGTATCGACTAGCATTGAGTGCCCGAGGTGATGTAATCAGCTTAGGTGTGGGTAGTTTCCTAGGCTGTATGGCCGTCTCGGGTGCGTACGGTGTCCTAGGTTGTATAGCCACCGCGGGAGCAGGTGAATTCCTAGGCTGTATGGCCATCGCAGGAGCGGATGATTTCCTAGGCTGTATGGTCATCTTAGATGCGATTACAGACGTAGGCTGTATCACCATCTTTGGTGCAAGTGGCTGAATAGCCGTCTGGATTACCCTAGGCTGTATAGCCATTTGATACTCAGCAGCCAGCATCATATCAGCCCGGCATAGTAATGAACGCGGAGTCGTTTCTCCAATCGCAGCACCACCGCGCAGACGGGTGAGGTGAGGCTTGATTCCTTCTCCGAACTTGAATTGTCTCGAGGCGAAGGACGTGAAATTAGCATTTCGCCCCGCGACGAACGCGGGAATTCAGACCCCATCCCACCCCTCATGCCTCCCGGCACGGGTGGTGCGCCACCGGAACATGAACTTGACTCATATGACATATGGAGGCGAATGCAACGTCTGTTATCTTGCTTATTCCAGTCTTCATTCCGAAGTGAAGGAGAGTCATCTTCATCTCGACCGCTTCAGTCCAGTCTCTTCCGTTGCGGCGCGTCTGCCGCTACTCTTGGCCCCAACCTCTGCGACAGGTGTAAGTATCTTGAGCCCATCCCGTAGACGACGGGGGATGTCAGAGGAAAGCCACTCATGGTTTCTCTTCGGGTTTCTGCACCTGTCGCGGGTCCCACCGGAGCACATCACACCTCCAAGGTATCGGAGGCAAGGCTCTTCTCCGCGGCGATTCGTCGGGATAAGTGCTCGGATGTCGTCCGGGACGCTCTTCTCTCGGCGGCCATAGATGTCTCGCTTGCGTTGTTGGTCGCGGTCCGTGGTGCCACTTCGATGGCACGCATGAGACAGTGTGTTCACGAGGGACATAGTACAGCCCGGTGACTTTTAGTCGATGACCTCGACGGCGCTGCTGAAGCACCCCTCCAGGCTGGATAGTCGACTTGGAGGTGGCAAGTGCCTCGCCAAGCCACTTGTTCATGTAGAGGAGCACCAACTTCACGCGAGCCGACAGGCCTTCACGATCAGCAGAATTGTTTCTCGAAACGAAAGAGCGGAGCCGCTCCGTCAACAGCAACATGTGGTCGTGCCCCATCGCTTCACCCATCCGAGTCAGGACGTGAATCCCGTCGAGGATGTCAGCTTGTGGATGCCGGAGGAAGAGCGGCTGATGGGCTGAAGTCGCTTGAGAAGTTGCCGTTAGACGACCCGGCATCCAGCGCAGCTTCCTCGTCTTCCTCACGGAGCTGGAGGATGGTGAATCCGCGAGAACCAAGTCGACCGGAGAATAGTGCCTTAAGCACCGCAGAGGTGGTCTTGAACCCAAGCATTCCGCTTCACGCAAGCCTAGCACAAACGACATGGGCGATACTGACTTACCTTCAGATGGTGAGAGCCCCTTGAACATTCGAGTTGCTACCAGGCCGTGCACTTGCGGGGGAGGTACTCCTCCTTTGCTTTCTTTGCTTGCTCCGGGAAACTGGCGCGTGACAGCTCGACAACCCTGTTGGCTGGGTGTTCGCCTTGATCATTGCGTTACGTGCGCACACCCAAAGACTGGCGTGCACCTGCGACTTGACCTCTCAGGACTTCGAGCTCTTGTCGGAGAAGGCGCAGCTCGTCTTGGGCACTTGGCGATGGTGTAGCTACGGGCGGTTTGCCACGCAGCGGGGGAACCGATCGTGCTTCGCTGCCGAGGCCAGGGTTGAACGATGACATGAAGTCGGTGAGATTGAAACCTGTGGACCGACGCGGTGTTGTGTTTGGACTAGACTGCCCCATTGTGGTCGTTGACGCGTTCTCTTACCGGCTTGTAGCTCGTTCCTCCGCTACCTTCGGTACCTCAGCTTGGGGCGCGGGGGCAATATCATCGCAAACCAGCTTCGTATTGCCCTTCTTCGTCTTCTCCGGGTCCACGAGACTGCCTTTCGTTTCGCCACGCGCTTCGACCCACGGATCGGAGGGGGGGTCGGAGGTCACGCGAGCTGGCGTATCCGTCCATGCAACAACGTCTGCCGTAACGTCGACGACCTCCTCTGTCGTAGACCCGCTCGCTGCCTCGGAAGGCGCTTGGATAGCTGTCGGAGCACCAGCCTCGGCGGTGGCTGCGTCGGTCGTCTTGTCAAGCTCTTGGTTGGTCATGGTGTCGTGTAGTGTCGTCGAAATAGAGAACCCCCTCTTAAACTAACGTGGCTTTCTTGTCGGGGACGAAAGCTGAACGGTGGAGCTCGCAGCGCTTGCAGAGTTGGTGGTTCACACGAGGTATGTGCACCACATCACTAATTTGTGTGTAAAACATCCTTTCCTTTCGTACCTCCAGGAAATGAACCGTTCACGTTCAATGAAACACAGGAACACCTCCGCAGTGTTGCTACATCATGAATAATACTGAAGTAGTTCGTAACTTACGAACTTTGAACGGTGCC